CCAACCTATTAGCAATGTTCTCCAACCCAATAGCGATGGCCTCCAACCTAATGCCTTGGAGCATTGCACAGCAAATAGGGCATCGAGACATTCAAAAACAAATGCTTCGGGCATTGTGGCATCGTCCAGTGGCTTGGACCCATCACATTAGTGGTACAACCACTTGCATGCTGGTTTCTCCTGGCTTTCGTTCCCCTTTCTCAGGTTTTAGGAGTGTCTTTTGCGACAATGCTCGTGCAGGTGACGTGGGAAACTCTTGTAGAACACCCTCGTAATAGATAGGAAGCGGTGCTTGCTTGCGACTCTTGGCACTCTGGGCCGGACACTCTCCACTATGGGTTTAACGTTCATCAGTGGCAATCATGCAGCTTCACCGGAGAAGACGCAGCACTTCACCAGGTCTGTCGGTGCACAACGCACAACGCGCCGCTGAACGTACAAGTGCGCTTTGAACGGTCCCGATTCCTCACATCTACCAATCCAAACACTGGGCTAGCAAAATATGCACCACATGCATGCTTATTGGATGATTTTTAGCATTTTCCAATGATATTATATGACGTTATATGATCACCTGGGACCAGCATATTACCTGAGACTTCTCACAAGAACGCACCTTCCAAAAGCAATCCTGAAACAAATGCCAATGACTGTAGCAAAATTGAGCCAACCTTCCTTATAACGGCGGAGCTCCAAAACCCACTGCCTTCCCCAGCCACTGTAGGTAGCCTCCCTTAAATTGCTGAACCTCTGGAAGTTTGAGCAGCAGATGATGTGACAGGTTCAAGCCATGAACTGTCAGTAGTGATGCACGGCACAGCTCTCATTCTCCACACCCGTCAAGCATAAATGACACAACTATACACAACTTATTTCTTCATGCAGCATATATGAGATATCTTTGATGAGCCTAGATAGATCGCATGCTTCCAAAACATGTTCCGTCATAATGGCAATATGCGTTTGCGTTTGATTTACGCACAAGAATGGGCAGAAATTGAACTCTTCTTGGTCATTGATGGCGGCACAGGAACTTCCATTACATCGCTGTGTCGCGCGGGCGTGTGCGGCTAATTCGCTTCTATTTACAGTACATTCATGTCTCTCGAAATCGTCGACGTGCATTTCGACTGCGCAGGCTCGCAAAATCTGGGTGGCCGCGGCGGGTGCTTGTCGCGACTGCGCTCTCGTTGTGGTGCCGTATGCATTCGTTTTCGTGGCAAGCGCAGAGGAAACCTCGTGTTTTCCTGGGCCAAAGTCGACTTTTCGTGACAGGTGCAAGGGATCGGAGCGGTTTACTTCGAAATGCAGATTTCGTGGCAGGTATTTACAGCACTTTGGACATGGTGGTGATCTTCGACGAGCTCTGGCTTCGAAACAGGTGCAAGGACCCCACGGAATCGTCTTGGGAAGTTTTGGGCATGTGGCTCGTTTGCAGCTTTCGTGGTACGCAAAGCACTTTGTGAACCTCGAAGTGCAGATTTCGTGGCAGGCGCTGCACTTTGTAAACCTCAAAATGCATCAAAATGCAGATTTCGTGACAGGCACAGCACCTTGTGAACCTTGAAGAGCAGAGTTCGTGGCAGGGGCAGCACTTTGTGAACC